CACACACACACACACACACACACATGCTTTCCATTAGCCTCAAACTCACTGATGAGCCTGAGCTTGGACACTGTTTCCCTGTGCTTTACTATGAACTTAAGGGGAAGGAATTTAGGTGTCTTTAAGTGTGTGTGTAATGATTAGTACATGATGTCATTAATTTTTTTCACTCCTATAAGCTGTTATTGTTAGCTGTTATATATATATATATATATATATATACATATATATACATACATATACATATATACATATGTCACTTGAAGCTTAAAGCTGTTTGTTGGCTGCTAGCTTGTTATCTGAAAGCAATGCAGCCGTTTACATAAACCCATGCTTTGTGCTTTATTTTTATAAATGCACACTCAGAGAGGACTGATGTACTTTTGAAAGGACTAATATTCCCCCAGTGGAAGTGTCCCATTCATGCTTTCATCACTACACTATAGATGTCAGGCTCCCTGTGCCTGGCAGGATGTCATTTCAGATAACTCTTAACTGTAGCTCTGTGCTAAACCTGCTGACACATAAATGCAGGCTGCGGTGCTCCCAACAGTCCAAACTGTTTTTTTTTTTGTGTTTTTTTACTGAGACAGACAGAAATGAGAAACAGAGATGCCGCCCAGCCTAGATGGCAAGACTTACTCTGAAACTTTTCCAAGTGTTTGTATGACATCTGACTATCAGCATCGCATGGTTTTGTAATGTGGTGCAGCATGTCTCATGCACAGAATGCAGTGGATGAGCGTGTGCGCTCAAATATTCTGTATGCATGGAAAAGGAGGGTAAAAGTGAGACTCTAGGTATGAACAAAAGCTGCACAGAAGAATTCTTACAGGCATATTCTCTCTCTCTTTCTTGATAGACTTTTCAGCTTGAGTTATAATCACTTTATTTTTATTACATTACAGACACATTTTTTAATTACATTTTTATTACATTGTATGTCAGTATACTGTATATATATATTGTTAACAAGTTTTGCTTATTTACCATAAATATACAATTAAACATTCACCACCACCATATATTCTCCAAATTCTATTGCTCAGGGTTATGGGACATATACTAATAATATTAATTCTGCATATAATATTAAACCAATATTGGCATTTATTTTTTTAGTAAGAAGCTGTCATTATTACAGAATAATAGCCGGTTATTATTAAAAATCAACCCTCTTCAGGGTGACCGTATATTATCCCTTGTCTGTTGTACCCCTGATGTTCACAGCCTAGTATGTTCTGGGAAAACAGAAACCCACTTTCAGCTGTCACATTTCTTGAAGGGACTTGTTACCTCTAGATGTGACATGCCAGCTCAACTCTTAACCTGTAGACAGCTGACCCCTGACTCTCGTATTCTTTTGCTGTTCTCTGCCTGCCACCCTTCCACCAGATACCTGACCTCGCTGTCACGGCCTGTTATTGTTAAAGATCCTTTTTACCATCTGGAATGGCTGTGCACTAAACACAAGACTACACTCCCAAACCGTTGTTTTAAATCAACAGAAGCTTAGCTAGCCTGGCTGCCGCGCAGTGCCACGGTATTGGTTTTTGTGTTAGAATGAATAGACGATGGAAAAATAAACACGGGTTTAGAAGCAAGACAAAGGGATGTGACTTTTGAACTACGCCTGTCGATCATCAGCAGGTGATGGAAAGCTACGATTTCTAAAGCAGCACTAGGTTTCCTCTCTAAACAAAGCAGCTGCACTGTCTCCAGCGCTTTCAGAAGAGCCCCCTACTGGTAGGGAGTGCAAGCGCACCTCTCTTAACCTGAAGTTAAGGGAGCACCGACACAGCTAGCCAAGCTGTTCTGACAGCAGCTGTCAGTGGCTTGCTCACCTCCTGCAGAGAGGCAGTCCTCACCACCCTAACACCACCCCTCACCTACTTTTGTTTGGAGACCTGGAAGTGTTCGGGTGGGCTTCAGTGTGGCCGCTGAGGCTCAGTCAAGCGTCAGACAGCTTGGTGTGTGAGTGGAGGGGAGTGAAGCCCATGGCTGGCCCTAGAAGACCCGGGCTGCTGAATTCACTGGCCTGGAAAACAGTTTACCAGATGTTTTGAAGGGGGTAATTATAGCATATACTGTCAGAGCTGGAGGAACATAGTGACATCTCTTTCACCAGCTCAAGCTCAATTAGGCATTTGAGGTTCTTTCTCGGCAACCTTGTCAGTGGTGGGAGAGAGGGTCTTAATTGTCAGGGTTACTCTCACCGTGTCCTCTAGCAAGCTCGCAGTTTCTCCATTTTCCTATGGCATACTTTAAAAGGTTAATCATTTTTTCACAGTCTGTTTTTTTGTGAACATTGCTGCAGCTCATATTTGGGTTTAAGGTTTTAAGCAAAATCAGTGGTTCTCAACCTAAAGGCCCCAAATGTGCAACACAAGATATTTCCTCTGGTATGTTTGCTGTAATGTTGAAAATTAATTCAATTAATTTAACAAAAATTGTTTTGTGATTCTATAAGATTGTTTCTTTATGTTAAAAATAGTTATTGAGGGGAAAAATTCAGTTCAGATATCAACGTGTAACTCATCCCTCACAGTTTATGAAATGGGCAATAATGATTTGTAGTTTATTGTGGAGAGATGTGATATTTTTTCAATGTGATCAGACTTTTTTACAATTTTTTACTTAGCAAATGATAAAATATTTGAAAATAGACTTACATTGAAGAAGGCAGCAGAGACATCCTTTGACTTGTGCCTGTAGACAACCACCTGTCTACCATGGTGAACATGATGTGAACATGTTTCCAGTAAGAGATGTTATAAAGAACAAGGTCCCTCATTTAAAGTAACAATGTAATGGTAGTAATGACATTTTTTTTTTTGTATGTTGGGATGTACATCTGTGTAAAATGGATCAGTCCAGCATACATCACCAGAGAAAAGTCTGACGTTTCACCATTTTGATTATAAAATAAGGTAAACAATATTCAAACATATGAATGAATGAATCGTGTACAGTAAGGTCAATAACATGCATTTAAAAAATAGATGGGGTGAATTTACATTTCATGCAAATTTTGAAGGTGAAATGTGTGAAAATGTAAATGTTAAACTAATTTTTTTTTAAATCCCATGCAAATCACTTTTCAATGAGCATGAACACTACTGTATTTGTTTGAGTGATCCATCATGTAAATGTCTGGTTCAACTAATGCTGTGATTGGAGGGTGGGATTCCTTGTTTTCTGAACAAGACAGGCCGGTAGACGTGTTTGGGAGACCAGTTTGTTAACAGTTAGTTTTGCGATTTCATTTGATGCTGCCAGTGGTGAATAAATTACCCTTCACCTTTAGTTTAATCTTTTCGTAAACATAGGAAGACTGACAAGATCAAATGTAGAGCTGTTTGTTCTTAGTCTGTTTGTTTATATCTTGACTACTAACAGTGTCAGTGTTTTGCATGGCACAGAAAGCAAGTTAGCAAATAAACTTTTTCCCACCTTTTGTTTTTTCTGGTTTGAGTAGTGTTTTGTCTTTTTCTTCCAGTGTGTGTAATTTGAAAAACAAACAGCCTGGATGGAGCTTCATGAATAAAGGATACGCTGGTACAGGTGGGCTGCTGTGGGGGGAAACGAAGGCCTGTCAAGCCCACCTCCAGTGTCAATCATGAAACGACAACATAAAGAGAACCAGAGCGAGAGTCTGTCTGCAAGCCGTGCTCCTAGAGGCGCTTCATGGTAGAGCTTGTCTTACTCTCAGGCTGGTGTTTCAGCTGCAGGCTCAACGGGGACAACAAAAAAGCAAGAAGTGTGACGGCAGGGCCGGGAGAGGATGAGGAAGAGTGAGAAGAAGAGCTGAGAGGTGCTCTAGGCCTTTAATCCGCCTCAGTGGTACCACCTCTTCCAGCGCCGTGCCCCCGTTAGCGAGACAGCGTTTCACCTGCGCCTGGCAGACACGTCTCCGCTCCTCCGTGCCAGCCCCTGACAGGTGACAAAATCAAAAGGTCACGTCACTTTGAACTGGCAGCGTTTGTTGCCCTGCTGATTTCCCCCGTGCCGCCACGGCTCGCAGGCGAGGTTGGAGGCGAGGCGGGGAGCAACTTTGGCAGCTCCTGAACTTCGTCTTTGTGAACTTTTGTACCCATGATTTTGCTAACAACACTGCAGCGCCGTGTGATTTTTGTCACGGCTGCTGCTGCCATTGTTGACGCAGGCTTGTCTTGGGAAGCCAGGGTTTTATTTACGGAACAGAAAGCCAGAGTGTTTTTCTGGGTCTGTGGGTTCAGGGCTGCTGCGGATTACAGTAGAGCTCGGGCCATGGGACTGACGGCACTGCTGACTCCCGCTGCTTCTGGATACGCACGACCCTGGCGCGTCCTCTTGCCAGCCCGTGTGCCCCGTAAAACTCAGCCCCAAAGAGACGTACTGGCTGCTCCGTCCCTCTCCCACACATCCCAGCAATTAATTTGCTCATTGTCCTCATTTTTGAATCGTGACCGCTTTTATTGAAACGTAACACTTTGTCCAAACAGAACCGGCAGAGTTACTCTTTGACTTGAGCCCCTGCAGAGGTCAGACCACAGTCAGCCAGTGCTGGCAAAAACTCAAGCCCTCCCTCTGACCAGCAGGGCACTGACAGCCTGTGAAGAGGCTGTTTGGGCTCGATGTGCTCCGGCGAGAGCCCTTATCAGCCTTCCAGGCCTGGGCTCTCCTGGGCCTCTGGTCCACACGCGGCATACAAAGCAGGGCCAGCCCCTGAGCAGCTGGAGACGCTAGAGATGTCTCTCATTTCAAAGAAGAGCTGGAGGAGGGCAGAGCACGAGAGCTGAGAGGCAGGAAAAAAAAATGAAAGTGCATATCTTCATGTTGGACGGCTTGTCTAGCTAGGGCGTCTATTCCCAGCGCACCTGTCTCGGGGAAGGTTAGAATTAAAAGCGCAGATAGCAGGGTTCTTCCTCCACTCATGGCAGAAGGCAAAAGAAAATGCATTAACTCGCCAGGATGGATGTCACGGCGCTGGTCTGGAGATGGTGCCGCTGCTAACCGAAAGGCCAAACAATGGACTTAAAGTCTGACTCTGATGCTATTTTAGACTGAATTTCTGTCTGCAAGTGAGACATATTGACTGCCAAACTTTCGAGTTCATGCTACCACGGCCCTTGAAGTTCAGCTTCCTCCAAGTTCCTTTACCCAGCGTATGACCTCTGGCTAACCTAGTGCCGGAGCCACATCGCTCTTCGAGTCGATCCGTGTGCTATTAGGCTAGTGCAAAACACCATCGCTAGTCTCCTCACAACATTGCGTGTATCTATCCTGAACCCTCCTTTTGTTTCTGCCGCAGGCTGCATTTACATAAGAGGCTTATAGAGGCCATACACTCTCTTTTAGACAAAACAAAGGAACAAAAGCTATTGTTTGCTAAGTAACAATTTTTGGATGTCACAAAAAAACTGATGAAATGCATGGAGCCAGAAAAAAGAAAAAAATAATCAAAAAGATGTATTCCTCCCTTGATAGCTTTTTGGTGTTTTCAGATGCCCGAGTTGTCGTATTTAAATAGCACACACATGACCTTGAAGCTTTGATGCGGGATTGACAGGAGGAACCACAAGAAGAGAAATAATGATCTATGTCTTTTCAGTCCTCCGGCAACAAAAACAGACATGTGATACACACTCCTCTGGGCTCCCGTAAGCCACTGAGGCCAAATATAATGTTTTCAGTTGACAGAGATAAACTCTTTATTTGTGTGCCAACATATCGTCTGATTATTTTGGTGTCTACAGTTCTGATTAACAAGCCAATGAGATCTGAATAATTAATGCCGCCAAATTACTAGCTCACACAGGAAGGATTTTTTTTCTGTTTGTGAGACTAAAACATATATGTGGCATATTTTAGATCCTATAAACAGCTCTTATTCTATTAGCGACTGCAGTAGATACAGTATGGTTGGGAGTGATATACACGATATACGTATATTTTTTAAATGTATTTATATCATGATAAAGTAACATTTGTATGCTCTTCTAGGTGGAACAGGTCTGGTTGTTTAGACAGCAATTAAAAAAAGCACAACTTACTGTATGAATAATAGTAACTGTTTCTGTAGCAAGAACCACTGATGATTCTCAGATGTAAGCAAACAAATAATTGATTCTTTCAAGCTTTTGAGCCTGCAGTTTTTCTAGATTGCAAAATGCAATCAATGTTTATCTAAACATTCGTTGATTCCTTGCCCTCTATCTTGCTCTCAATATTCTCGGCATCACTCTTTTCATCATTTTCACTGGTTTGTGTTCACATGTTCTTCTGGGAGAATCGAGTAGCCAGCAGCATTTCTTGAGGTCATGGGCATACGGCTCTTTGTGTGCTTGAGTTAAGTATGAAAACCTGAAGGGGTTTTGATGGGACCATTGTTGGCCTGGACCTGGTCCACTGAAGCACGTAGTTAACGTTCTATGTCATCAGCCTTCCTTTGCCAGAGGCTCTATTCAGGTTTTAACCTTATGGACAAGAGGACACAACTGATGACTTTAGCGACTGAGGTCACACTCGGAGGGTTTGCTTTCTATCCAAGGACTGTGTGCTATCATTTGTTTTCACTCGAAGATGTGGAGATGTTCCTAAGTGTACATGTGAAATTGATTTTCTTCTTCTTTTTTTCTGCTCTCTTTTGTTCTGCTCTTCACAATGCACATCAGCAAGCTGTGGAGGATTTGCTGGAGGACGAGGAGGAAGACTTTGACAGAGATGACAAGGTAATTATCGGTGCCACTCACAAACATGTATTCCAACACAGATGTATATTTAATGCTCAAACGCTCTTCTCTAAAGTGAAATGCAATGAAAATGTATTATTTATTGTGTTTGACCTCACTCAAATACCAGTAGGTCATTGTTTTCTTGTGTATTTAATGCTTTCGGTCACATTTCATAGAGTCCAGGTCCACAGCTAGTCTGTCAGAGCTGCTAGTGTCTGAAGTCTATAGAGTTGCAGTACATGTTTCCTTTCTACTCAGAATAAAGGGGAGTCACATAGGCATAAATAAACTTGGCTTCAGGGTCTCTGTGTTGAGCTTCTGATATTTCTCAAGGCCTTTGAAGTGCAATTAATAGCATTCAAATGACCGCAAGCCAAATGCCCCAGCAGCTTTTGTGAGGAAGCATTTTAATATTTCTGAGCAGGCAGATTCATATTATTGCCTGCCAAAATACCAGCACTTATGTGCTTTTAGCACTTTGTCTGGAAATGGGACAACAAGAATGTCAACAAGAACATTTTTGGAGCAGTGTAGACTTAAGATGAAAACATAACCTTTGACATCTTCCTGACATTTCTCCTTAGTGGACTTTCAAAGAGCATAAAGTGTACATATAGTGTGTGTATGTAGAAGAATGAACTGAATATCTGTATTAATGTTGTCAAGGATCTGTTGTTCTTTGTGTCAGATTAGCTTCAGTTGAGAGGTTGGAAGGTTGAAAAGGGCTACTTGTCCTCTCTTTGTCCTTTCTCCTTCTTGTTTGCATAGTTTTGTTTTGTTTTACTTTGAATTTGTTGGATAGTCAATGTTACGCTCTATTAAAAGATTTACATGGAACAAAAATGATTTAGGATGACAGTTAAATTGAAATCAATTGTAATATTTATTTATGAATTAAAAAGCACACAGATAAAGGTAAAAATTCAAGCATTTCAATATATATATGTATCTTAAAATGGTTAATCATTTATTTGATCATTTAACTTTTTATTTGTAGTAATTTATCTGTTAATATTGTTAATTTCATTAAAATGAATAAGAATTACCAGTGCTACAGATGACAGAGGCCTCACAAAAGCAATGTGAGGAAAAAAAACAGTGATGCAGAGTTATATCAGACTACAATGCTAATAGTTAGAAAAAGTAGCTTGTTACTTTAAAAGCAACACTATCTGTCATACTTTCAGTTCCTCCTCAACACTAGTTTGTATTTCTTTTTTTTTCCCATCTACGTCTCTTTACTTTCTTCTCCATGTCAGTTTGTTGATGACCTCACATTCTCATTACCTCCTCTGTTTGTTCAAGCAGTAAAATACTGAGATCACATCAGGGAAGTCCCACTTATACTGGATGAAGGAAGAAAAAAATGGATAAATGTGCCAAGGGCTCATTTTAATTGAACCTGAAGCATACGTTGCAAGTATGTGCAATATGTCCCAGATGTTTAGGCCAGGCCTAGTCTTCAGCTCTTCCTTAGTCTCCACTAGGAAGCTATTAGCTGGATAACCTTTGCTCCAGGGGCTAAATGGGGTATTACATAGCAGTCACCTGTTTTGCATTGGACTGGGGACCTCTTGCTGGTGTAGTATGAGCCAAGACATGTGTTCTTACTTAACAAAATGTTTCGTGATAGTTAAAAGTGTCTTTCTTCAGACTCACTGCAGATATTAGTCAATTACTCTTAATGAAAGTCCAAAGTCAAGGCTAATTGATGGAGACGGCTCAGTTGTTTTGCCCAAGTAGGCAATTGGTTCCAAAACAAGAAAAAGGGAGGGAGAAAAAGAGAGAAGAGCTCAGGTGAAAGCAAGGTTAGTGCAAGTGACACTGTAAAAGTGTTTTAAAACAGGGGATTTTTGCAGTGCACCTGGCTATGTGAAATCAAGTCAGTGTTGAGGAAGCTGCTTTGAAATCATAATTTAAAGAAGTTCGACTACAGTCGAGCTTTTGCCGTTTAAAATAGTAGTTTGCTACTCTGCGAGTTACTAATAAAAGCTAACTGCATTGAAATTGTTTATAAATAAAATACAAATCAACACTTTTTTCACTAAATCAGCATTAGCAATAAAGAACATTCATTACCTGAGTATATGTTCACTAAAACAAACAAAAAATGTTAAGAGCTTGAGATGTGAAATGCCTCAAGCACAACCATGACCTCTTCAATATTCCATCTTCTTCAAAGTGCGAAAATTCAAGCTAGCAGGTCTACAAACATGAGTTTGGGAATGGAATTCCTGCTGCTACTTTCAGATTGACATCACGTTATTACATTTAGATGATAGATTATGAAGACAAGTTCTTTTTATAAAGTACACCAATACATTTCCACAATGAGAAAGTAAATAGGATCAAATAATTTAGCTTTAGTCTAGCAAGCTACAGTTTCAATGTACCTTCTCCAACACCTTTTTGTGACCATGAATTTTTGGGTTAAACACAATTTGGATGGCCATGTATGCAAAAGCATGCTGGGTACAACAACTGTGTAAGCCATATGCTTGCCACACACTTCTCCTTTTTTCTCTGCCAGGCTAGTGCCAGTGTGTGTGCATGTGAATGTGTCCATGTGTGTTTACAGTGCTGAATAGCTCTCTGGAGAGCTCGCCGACTCCACCAAATTCATCAGCAATCCCGGCAATAACAGCCAAAATATTTTAACACCTGCTCCGCCAAACACATGTAAACACACTGGCAGAATGGCAGGTAATTATCCAGGTGATAATGAATGCGCCTCACATTGTTAAACCTCTCTCAAATATGCTAGTGTGGAATTAAGGGGTAGCATTGGGTACGCTACGATAACGTGCCTAACGCTCCGCTTGTGCCACAGCTGTCTCGCACTTGTGTGCACCCACTTTCCCAAAGAAAGTTTGCGAAGGATTGGGATTTTCATTACCGTTCATTATTTTTATGCAGCTAAACTTCACCTGTCATAAAGCAGATGCTGGAAGACCTAGTCTTTCTTGCTCTGATAATATTTTGAGATATACTGCGGTGTTGCTTTTAATGGAATAGTTCACTTAAAATTATAATTCTGTCATCATTTACTCATCCTCATGTCATGACAAATATATAGGACTTGCTTTGTTCTGTGAAACACAAAAGGAGAAAATATGAATAATGCGCCGGTCACTCTTTTCTATGCATTTATGATGGATTTTTAGCTTTACAAAGATGCTTAAAAGGTTAGTTCACCCAAAAATGAAAATTCTGTCATTAATTACTCACCCTCATATCGTTCCAAACCCATAAAACCTTCGTTTATCTTCTGAACACAAATTAAGATATTTTTGATGAACTCCAGGAGCGTTCTGACCCTCCGTAGGCAGCAACACAACTACCACATTCAAGGCACAGAAAGCTAGTAAGGACATCGTTATAATTTGTGTTGTGGTACTGTCGTGAACGTGTGTCGAAGACTGACATGGAAGAGAAGAATTTGTTGAATAAAGATGTTATTTTTGTTTTCTTTGCACAAAAAGTATTCTCGTAGCTTCATAAAATTAAGGTTGAACCACAGATGTCACAAGGACTATTTTAATGATGTCCTTACTACCTTTCTGGGCCTTGAACATGGTAGTTGTGTTGCTGTCTATGCAGGGTCAGAAAGCTCTCAGATTTCATCAAAAATATCTTAATTTGTGTTCCGATGAAGGTTTTACAGGTTTGGAACGACATGAGGGTGAGTAATTAATGACATAATTTTCATTTTTGGGTGAACTATCCTTTTAAGCACCATACAAGTATCATAAAAGTGGTTCATATGACTCATTTGTTATAGTCCAAGTCTTCTAAAGCAATACACAAATAGTTTGTCAAAAACAGACCAAAAATTAAGTCATTATTCACCTATAAACTTTTGTGACCAGTCAGTGAGTTAAACTCAAGAACCAAATCAGTCTGATTTGTGAGCGAATCATTCACAAAGATTTTGTTAACTGGATCAACAAATTATTTGAAAAGATTTGACTCAAAAGAACGATTAATCCACAAATCTGACATAACATACATTTCAATGTGTTTCTTTCACAAACACATTGTATGACTTCAAAAGACTTGGAATATAGTGCAAAAGTTGTATGGACCACTTTTATGGTGTTATTTTGTCTCTTTGAAGATTAAAATCTCCAGTTTGAATTCATTTTAACGGCATGGAAAAGAGCAGCCTGGACATTTCCCAAACATCTCATTTTGTCTTGCATAGACATGAGAGTGAGTATTGTATTTTTATGTATTTTCAATAACGTGCACTACATTGTCCAATTCACTGTCTGTTTTTATTTTTGTTATTCCAACAAGTTGATTTTTTTTGCACATGCTAATTGATGGTACAGATACAGTATTTGGGTTTCGGTAATGTCATTAGAACCGGTGTTGTGCGTACATGTGTCCGAAGCGGAGTACGGAGGGATAATCAGCGTTAGTGCTCCGTCTGAGAAGCAGCCAGGATGATAGCGCCAGTGTCCCCAGGGAGCGAAAGAGAGAGGGTGAAAGAGTGTTGAGATTAGGAGTGTACGCATGGCTGGCCACTGGAGTAATGGTCCTACACATACATACACACAGCCCGAGGAGGAGCCGCCCCAGATAAGATACACACTGCAATCATGTCATGCTCACAGGCTTACCACAACTCACGCACGCCTCCTTACATGCCCAACAGCTGTTAGGAAGTGTGCGTGATTGTGCTGCCTGCTCGTCTGGATATTAAAGATGGCATGTAACCGTATGCTGTACCTCTTATAAATAAGCAAACATTCAATATGAATGTGAAGCAAAACAGTGACAGAGAATAAGAGAAAAAACAGGATATCGTGTGTTGTCAAAGGCTTGTCGGTTTCTGTTTTGTGAATTAATAAAGGTAAGTGTAGCTTTTAGGCTAGAAATATACTGTGCAAAAATGTAAATGCAGACACTTGTCTGACACAGTAAAGCGTGCAGCAGACAAACTGTGGTGGTTAGAAATGTCAGAACTCAAGGGGGCAGTGAAGTTAACTTTA